TTGTTTTTATTATCATCATTATGATAACTATCATTATTATTTATATGATTATCATTACTATCATTACTATTATTATTATTATTATTATTATTAATATTATTATTATTATTATTACTGTTATTATTATTATTATTGTTATTACTATTAGTAGTAGCAGTAGTAGTATAATCACTGCTATTACAATTATTAGTTATAATCATTATCATCGCTGTCATTATTACTATTAATATTATTATCATCACTATTATTATTATCATGATTGTTATTATCATTATTATCATTATTATTATTATTATTATTATAATTATTATTATCATTATCATGATCATTATTATCATCATTTTTAATGTTATTATTATTATCATTGTTATTATCATCATTATTATTATTGTTATTATCATTATTATCATTATTATTATTGATATCATTATCCTCTTCATCATCATTATTATTAATATTACATTATTATTATTATTATTATTATTATTATTATTATTATTATTATTATTATTATTATTATTATTATTATTATCATTATTATTATCATTATTTTTTTTTTTTTTTTTTTTATTATCATCATTATTATTATTATTATTATTATTATTATTATTATTATTATTGCTGTTGTTGTTGTTTTTTTTTTTTTTATTATCATTATTATTATTATTATTATTATTATTATTATTATTATTATTATTATTATTATTATTATTGTTATTATTATTATCATTATTATTATTATTATTATTATTAAAATTATTATTATTATCATTATTATTATCATCATCATCATCATTATCATTTTTGTTCTTGCTGTTGCTGTTATCATTATCCTTATCATTATTATTACTGTTATTTTTATCACTATTATCAATATTACTGTTATCATTATGATCATTATTTCAATTATCATCTTTATTATCATCATTATTATTGTTATTATTATTACGGTTATTATTATTATTATCATTATCATTATTATCATTATTATTATTATTATCATTATTATTATTATCATCAATATTATTATTATTATTATTATCATAATTATCAGTATCATTTCAATCATTATTATTCTTTTATTATTGTTTAATGTTATTATTCTCACTATAATAATAATAATAATCATTATTATCATTATTATTATTATTATTAATATTATTATCATTATTATTATAATTATTGTTATCATTATTATCAATATTATTATTAATCATTATTATTATTATTATTATTATCATTATTAATATTGTTATTATTATCATTATCATTATGATTATCATTATCATTATCATTATTATCATTATTATTATTATTATTATTATCATCATTATTTTTGCTAATGTCATTATTATTATCATTATTTTTGCTAATGTCATTATTATTATCATTATTATCATTATTATTACTATTATCAATATTATTATCTTTTTTATTCATTATTATTATTATTATTATTATTATTATTGTTATTATCATTATTATAATCACCATTACTATTATTGTTATTATCTTTATTATTATTATTATTTATTAGTATCATTATCGTTATCATTATTGGTATTATCAGTTTTATTATTATACTATCATTATCATTATTATTACTATCATTAATTTTTTATTGTTGTTGTTTTCACATTGTGTTTACTAGTATTATTACTATCATAATTGTTGTCAACATTAATATTATGACTATTATTATCATTATCATCATCATCATTATTATTATCATTATTATTATTATTATTATTATTATTATTATTTATTATTATTATTATTATATTATTATTATTATCAATATTATTACTATTATTTCCATTATCATTATTACCATTATTATTATTATTGTTGTTATTATTATCATCATTATTATCATCAATATTATTATTATTATTATCATTATTATCATTATTATTACTATTATCAATATTATTATCTTTTTTTATTATCATTATCATAATTGCTATCATTGATACATTTTTTTGTCTTCACAATGCTTATACTAGTATTATTACTCTTATAATTGTAACCATTATTACTATCATTATTATCGTTACCATTATTATTATCATTGTTATTATTATTATGCTTATCATTATTATTATTGTTTTTACTAGTATTATTGCCATCATGATAATAATCATTTATTATTCCTATTATCTTTATTATTATTATTATTTATTAGTATCATTATCGTTATCATTATTGGTATTATCAGTTTTATTATTATACTATCATTATCATTATTATTGCTATCATTAATTTTTGTTGTTGTTGTTTTCACATTGTGTTTACTAGTATTATTACTATCATAATTGTTATCAACATTAATATCACTACTATTATTATCATTATCATCATCATCATTATTATTATTATTACTATTATTATTATTATTATTATTATTATTATTATTATTATTATTATTGTGATTATTATTATTATCATTATTATTATTATTATTATTATTATTATTATTATTATTATTGTTGTTGTTATTATCATTATTATTATCATCATAATAATAATTATTATTATTATTATCATAATCATATCATAATTATTGTTATTGTTACTTTTATCATTATCATATTATTATCATAATCATTTCATTATTATCATTAGTAGTATCATTATCATTATTATTTTTAGCATTATTATCAATATTTTCATTATTAATATTTATTGATATTGATATTGTTATTAGCATTATTATTGTTGTTCTTATTATAATCATAATTATTATTATTTTTATTATCATTTTTTTTTTTTTTTTTTTTTTTTTTTTACTGTTATTATTACTTTTATTATTATCATCAATTTTATTGCTGATACTGTCACTATAATAATAATAATAGTTATTATTACGATTATCATTGATACATTTTTTTGTCTTCACAATGCTCATACTAGTATTATTGCTCTTATAATTGTAATCATTATTACTATCATTACTATTATTATCATTATTATTATTATTGTTATTATTATTATGCTTATCATTATTATTATTGTTTTACTAGTATTATTGCCATCACGATAATAATCATTATTATTGTTATTATCTTTATTATTATTATTATTTATTAGTATCATTATCGTTATCATTATTGGTATTATCAGTTTTATTATTATACTATCATTATCATTATTATTACTATCATTAATTTTTATTGTTGTTGTGTTCACATTGTGTTTACCTATATTATTACTATCATAATTGTTGTCCACATTAATATATGACTATTATTATCATTATCATCATCATCATTATTATTATCATTATTATTATTATTATTATCATCATTATTATTATTATTATTATTGTCATTATCATTATTATCATTATTATTATCATTATTATTATTATTGTTGTTATTATCATTATTATTATCATCATCATAATCATTATTATTATTATTATTATATATTATTATTATTATTATTAGTATTATCATTTTATTATTATTATTATTATTATCATATCATTATTATCATTATTATTATCATTATATTATGATTGTGTATTATCATTATTATTATCATCATAATCATTATTATTATTATTATTACATAATCAATCATAATGTAGTGTTATTGTTATTTATCATTAGATATTATTATCTAATTTATTCATTATTCTCATGAGTAGTATCATTATCATTATTATTAATATCATTAATTTTTTATGGTTGTTGTTTTCAATTGTGATTACTAGAATTATTATATCATAATTGTTGTCAACATTAGATTATGATATTATTATCATTAACATCATCATCATTATTAATATCATTATTATTATTATTATTATCATCATTAGTTTTTTTCTTATTATTATTGTCATTATCATTATATATTATTATTATTATCATTATTATTATTATTGTTGTTATATCATTATTATTATCATCATGCAAAAATCATTATTATTAATATTATAATCATAATCATATCATAATTAATGTTATTGTTACTTTTATCATTAATCAAATATAATCATAATTATTTCATTAAAATCATTATTAGTATCATTATCATTAATTATTTTTAGCATTATTATTAATATTTTCATTATTAATATTTATTGATATTGATATTGTTATTAGCATTATTATTGTTGTTCTTATTATAATCATAATTATTATTATTTCTATAATTATCATTTATTTTTATTTTTTTTTTATTTTTTTTTACTGTTATCATTATTGTTATCATTATTATCAGTTTTATTGCTGATACTGTCACTATAATCATTACTATTATTATTACTACGATTATTACTATCATTATTGTTGTTATTATTATTATTATTATTATTATTATCAATATTATTGCTATCGTTAATATAATTTTTTGTTTTCACATTGTTTATACTAGCATTATTACTATCATAATTATGATTATCAGTATCATAGATATTATTGTTATTATTATCATTATTGTTGTTGTTGCAATTGCTGTTATCATTATTATTATCCTTATATCTATTAGCATTTTCATTAATGGTATTATCATAATCATCATTATTTCTTAACATCACTGTTGTTACCATTAGGTGTTTATCATCATTATTATTACTCTTATTATTGATGTTATATCACTGTCATTATTTTTTGCTGTGTTCTTTATCATAGTCATTGTTATTATCTTTATCTTATTAATGTTATCATTTCCATTATTGCCATTGCTAGCATGTTATTATTAGTACTTTAGTTTATTAGTATTTCATTAACAATATCATCATTATCAATCGCTTTAATTTTAGTTTATATCATTATCTTAATAATTCTGCCTGCTATTTTCATTATCGTTAGTAGCATCACTATATTATCTTTACCATCATTATCATATATTTTTTTGTCAGAATTACAATCACTTTGAAATTATCATTATCCACACAAATATTATCACCACTAGTGTAATAATCCTCATCACTGCTTATCTCAACGGTATCGTGCCCTTATCGCTGCCTCCCGCTGCCCTTTATCGCGCCGCAG